GTTGTTACTGCTTGGTAGCAATCCAAACCAGCGCAGACCATTAAATGATGATACTGCTCTTCATGTTGCAGTAAGGAAAGGCAATGAAGTGATTGTAAAGTTACTACTTGCCTTTAAAGCTGATCCAAATATTGTCAACAAAAACAACGAGACTCCTTTCAACTTAGCTGAAATGCATGCAAATAGAGAAATATACAGTTTAATTGAGAAGGTAGACTCCTTGCAAACCAAAACGAGGAAATATTTTACGCTAAATTCAAGTCTTCCAGCAGAGAGGACTCGGGCTGGCACTTACCTTATGAGCCTAGATGGTGGTGGAATTCGTGGGTTCAATACTACAACATATCTCATTGCTCTGGAAGATCGCATGAAGGAACTCTCACCTAAATGTCCCCCTATTCAATATTATTTTGATTACATAGCTGGTACTAGTTCTGGTGCTATTGCTGCCCTTATCCTCCTCTATACAAACTACTCACTCAGAATTGGACGATGTCTAGTCTATCAAATTTTGATGAAAGTTTTCACTTTAAAATCTATTAAAGAGCGCAAGAATTCAATGGAAACAAATCTTCAAAGCATATTTAAGAAAAACGTCATGTCATCTTTGAGAGGCCCACCACATGCTATAGTCACTACTACAAAGGATCCTGGAAAGCTTTGCTTGATGACAAGTTATGATGAGAGTGAAGCTGGATCAAATCAGCAAATTTGGAAGGCAGCTCGCATGTCATCCGCTGCTCCCTTCATTTTTCCTTCTGTTGATGACATCTATCTTGATGGTGGCCTAGTAGCAAATAATCCAACCAATGCTGCCTTGGAAGAGATTAGCCAAATTGAACAAAATTGTGAGTTTGGTTGTATATTGTCGATTGGGACGGGATCTTTTGAAAATCCCAAACTTAAAGACAACTGGGATTATTTCTATTGGACTTTCCCTTTTGATCAACTTCGTAATCCATTGGAACTGACAAAAACCATCAAAACTTTTATAAAGAATAGTTATACCAAAGTTAGAGAGTCAAGTGAAGAATCTGCAAAATCTTTATGTGAAACCAAAGGCTGGGAGTATCACCGCTGGTCTCCACCTCTCCATAAAAATTTAGGTTCTGCTTGTACGGAACTCAATATAATTATTGACATGATGTATCACACAGAAATGTATATTCTTCAGCATCCAGAAACAATTGATGGCATTGCTAAATGCATACTTGCAAAGAAACCAGCTAATTAGTTTGTCCATTCAAACATGATTGTTAGATCTAATTATAATTGTACAATTGCACTATGCTGTTTACAAAAAGGTACATGTACATGTGTATGATTATAAATTGTTATTAGCTGATGTGGTTTTGATTATGAAGACACTTGTTTTAATTAAAAACACGAGATGCAGTACGCCCCTTCCAGGGTGCATTCACACTATTGAGGCATTGTATATATAGAGAGATGATTACACAATCACAGAATTCATAAAATACCAGCTAGGGATCTCAGGGCTAGATCATAAAACCAACGCCAACCAGGCACTAAACAAAGGGTGATTATGACAAAGCAGTGTCTCACGTATATTAAAAATGTGATTCAGATTAATCAGTATGGTCCATTAATAAATGTCACTGGCTTGTGGCTGAATTGATGCACCATACTAACTACTGAGAGACAACTACAAAACATATCTACTGCTGGTACTTTTTTGAGGGAAAATTTTTTCGATGAATTGTTGATTTGGTGGGCTTAAATTTGGCAAATTTATGGCTCCGTGAGCTTAATGGATTAAAATGGTGGGTTTAATTTGACAACATTTTCCCTCTAAATGTAAATTAATAGTCTGTGTGGTATATACTATTGGGTGATGCATGTACATAAGTACATATACATTAAGTAGTATAATAACACATTTTAAGAATTTAACAATACATTATTTACGCCAGCTATTATTATGGAGGAATAGACGGAGGAAGAATAGAACAAGGTAGAAATGTGAATCATTAAAGGCTATAAGAGAGATGACAAAACATAAAAGTAATAAGGGCTGGCCTATAGGTTTATGTACGTGTATAAATACGTGTATTGTATATACATGTATGGGCACACATGAACTGAGTGCCAGTACATAAAATAATCTTTCTCTCATCTCATATTCTCACAGCCACATAGCAATCAGATCCATTTTAAATTCCACTGACAAGTGACGAAGGAAAAGATTCTGGATTCTCTAGATAGGCGTTATTAGATGTAATGAATTAAAAATTTTTTAAATTTTAGATCTAGATCTTCATAAATACACAAAAACAAATATCACAGTTAAAATACTTGCATGATGGTTTTAAATTTACAAAATACCAGAGTTTTTGACAAGTTCATAAAAAGATTCTTTCTTGGCAATGAGCATGTTAGGAGAGTCAAATTCTGCAATACGTCCATTATCCAATACCATTACCCTGGGGGAGGTAAGAGATAAATAATAATCCAATGACTATAGCATATTTTTATACCTATCATAATCCATAATAGTGTTAATACGATGAGCTATAGTTAAAATTGTACAATTAGCAAACTCTGAGCGAATCGTCTTTTGAATCAAACCATCAGTTTCTAAATCAACAGCAGCAGTAGCTTCATCTAATACTAATATCTTTGTTTTACGAAGTAAAGCACGAGCTAGACACACTAACTGACGTTGACCAACACTGCATGAAACACAATAGTAAGCCAATGACATACAAGTATTAAAATTGATTTCTTACCTCAAATTTTCTCCTCCTTCAGCAACAGGGTAGTACAATCCTTCAGTGAGTCCACTTACAAACTCACTCAAATGAGCAGTTTCTAACACTCTCCATAACTCTTCATCAGATTTGGCATTAAAAGGATCAAGATTGAGTCTAAGAGACCCTGAGAACAACACTGGATCCTATATACACAATAATAATTACTACACTGATAATGTGCATTAATTAACCTGTGGTATTATAGTAATGTTAGACCTGAGATCCCTTAATCCATAAGTACTGATATCTGCACCATCAATCGATATAGATCCTTGAGCTGATTCAATGATACGAAACAATGCTAGTGCTAGTGTAGATTTTCCTGCTCCTGTTCGACCTACTATTCCAACCTAAACAAGAGACAGAAAAAGGAGAAATATAGAAAAGGGAAAAAATAAAGGCAGGGAGAAATATAAGAGGATGAATGGAGAGATGAATAGAGGGAGGGACAGGCCAGGGTTCCCACAAAGCATGCTAAGTTAGCTAAACAGCATGAGCTTCATGAGCTGACAAGCTGTAGTATACAGTACATGGCACTTTGAGCAACTTTAAAAAATTCATTAAAAAATCTGATTTTGATTGGAATCAGCTCAAAGTTGAAACACAATATAAGAACACATATATGCATCAAAAAATTATCAAAATGGAGAACTCTCTTTTGACTTAAGATCAAAGACTATACTTTAGTCGTTGGCCCAATTTTTGAGAAATCTTAAAAATTCATAGAAATTTAAACTAGATTGGGGATTCAGAATCAGCTCAAAGTTGATACAAAGCATAAAGACGTGTATATGTATTTAAAAAAATTATAAAAATGGAAAATTCTCTCCTTGGGATTCTGTTACAATACCCTGTGCAGGGTCTTTGGCTCAAATTTTCAGCAACTTGACAATCCACTGACAAAAAGCAGCACAAAAACTATGCCAAAATCTAGTGAGAAGGAATAAATCTACAAGTACCTTTTGGCCTCCGGGTATATCACATGTAATGTCTTTGAGTACCAAGTCTAACCCAGGCCGGTAGCGTGTGGAATAATGACTAAACTGTACTCTACCCTGAATTGGCCAGCCAGGAGGAATAGGACAACTAGGAATAACATCAGGAGCCTAACAAGAACACAGTAAATGGAATGCCTATAGTGCAATTATTAATACTTCATTAGGTGTCTCAGTGTATTCTTTTATTCTTTCAACAGCAACAATATTACTTTCCAGATCACTCATCATCCTAACTGTCCAATTAAGTGATTGGGTGACCTTTGTATATCTTCATTAAAACATTGAAAATACCCTAAGACTGAACTCACCATCAAAGAATAACTAATTGACAACCCAACCAGACCAGGATCTATTCTACCAAAAATTTCAGGATAGTTACGCTGAAGGGCTGCAGATAAAGCAGCAAAAAATATAACAAGATTCCCAACTAGTTCAAGCCGAACTGCTAACCATCTAATGGGACATAAATGATTATTCTAATGAAGACGGTATTTCATCACCTGTTTGAGCAGCTGGTGAGGTAGAATGCAGTTTGATTGTGATCTACATGAGCTTCGGATTGTAGCTGGAACTCATCAACTTTAGAATAAGCTCTAATGCTGCTGGCTCCATTAATACTCTCTTGAAAGTGTGAGTATATCGGAGAGCGTGACGAGGACTCCAAACGCTTCAGTTGTCTTGAAGTCTTCACATAAAAACGCTAAATACAAAACTTACATCATAGTTACAAAATACTTTCACTTTACCTGTACCACAAGATAAAAGAGCGACAATGGCACAATGAGCAGTATAAACCAAGGAGAGGTATAACAAATAACAATGATAGTAGCTACAACAGCAGAAAAGGTGAATAGAAATTCACTCAATGCAATTGGGATAGCTTCATCAACAACATCAATATCCTAAAATACAATACTGACTGCCTATCATTCTCTATTCATTATATACTGTACCTTGGAGAATCGGTTCAGTATCCTTCCAAGAGGTGTTGACTCAAAAAATGAAAGTGGAGAGCGGAGGATGTTGAGTAGCATTCCATTATGAAGGGTCCTGGATGCTTTTAGAGTAGCAAATACCAATGCAAATGATGCCAGAACAGTTGATATGGTTTGCAAGAAACCAAAGCCAGCATAGACACCAAGATTAAGAGAGCTGCAATTAGATGTACATGTGTCACTAATACTTTATTCAAAAACTCACAGGTCAGAATTATTAGCAGTGTCTCTTCCTTCCTGATTACTCCAATGAGCAAGCCATAGGTTCTGACCAACAGACCCACCACTTACAATTAGATACAAAAAACCAACAAGAAATGCTAAGAAATAAGAACAAGACTTAGCATAGCTGAGAAACACAGCATAGTGCACCTACAGTAAAACAACATAGTGTATTATATACAAGACAATAGGCATATCTTACAGAACCAGTTTCGACTGTTTCTTCGGTCATTATAAATGATTTTCTTTCTCCTTCTATAAAAATGTACGTGTATAATGTTAATATCATTACGACATAAAAATTTACTTGTTCTTTTAAATGTTTCTTTATTCTCATCTACTATCTTATTCTCATTCATCTCAATATCTTTAAATAAAATGTAATTTAAAATTAAATTTTAGAACTCTAACCGTTATCATTCACATCATTGGGCAAGCTATAGTTTTGTAGAAATTCAGCAAATGCTCCATTTTGCTCAATGAGTTGCCTGTATGATCCTACCTCAGTTATACGTCCATTACTCATGACTATTATCTTATCACACTGTGACAAGAATCCTATACCATGTGTTACTAATATACGCACCTAAAAATGTAGTGAAGAGAGGAATAACATTATACCAGCAATAATATTAATTAATGATCAATAACATAAGAATGTAAAACATTAAGGGGCTCCACCCCCCAGCCATGCAATCATCATAAAGATCAGGTTATTTACCCTACGGTCGGTTTGTACAGACACGCTTCATCACTAAGGCTTCATCCAATAATCATTTAATTCATAAAATCTTAATAACACTACATGTATACGTATTTTAAATACATACTTTTCCTTTTAGCATTCCATTTGGTCCTATTACTTTATCGAAAATGTGTTTACCAACATGTGAATCAACAGCAGATAAAGGATCATCTAGCAGATACACATCAGAATCCTGATAGACTGCTCTAGCTAGACTCACTCGTTGTTTCTGACCACCACTAAGATTAATACCCTTGATAAAATAAAATTTAAATTTAATTTAAACATTTACAAATGTAAAATACTTTCTCTCCAATTTCAGTCATATCCCCTCCAGCTAATAACTCAAGATCACTCTCAAGGGCACAACACTGCAGTGTCTCATTATAGAGAATGTCATCAAATTTTTTACCAAAAACTATATTATCACGAATAGTAGCATTCTGGATCCATGCCAGTTGAGGTACATATGACAATCGGCCCTGTAATTGGTTCATAAATAATTTCACATAATTATCTGTTTCACATTGTACCTTAAGAGATACTTCACCACATAGTTTCTTCATTTGACCCAATAATGCTGAAATGAGAGAAGATTTACCAGCACCAACATGACCCACTATTGCTACTAGCTCTCCTGTTTCAACTGATAAATTAATACTGGAAAGACAAATAAAAATCACTTACATTTGTTACACACTAACTTCAATAAAATAGGAGGTGTTTTGGCATCCCAAGAAAAGAATCCTTCATTTATTGATAGAGCATTTTCACCACCTACAAGTATATTAAAGCACATTTTCTTTTATAACGGTACATACAACTAGCTGGCTCCTCAGTGTAACTGACACAATTAAGATCAAGTTCTTCGTCAGTCAAAAAGGAAGAGAGACGCTTTAGAGATACATTAGCCTAAATGAAAACTTTACTTATACACACACATTATTTTTGTTGAGTTTACCTGGATTAAATAAAGTATCATCATCGGGACAATGGAAATTGGAAAACTAAGCAATTCAAACAATGATAAAGCAACAAATGCTTTCTCAGGTGTCAATCTATCCTCAATACTTGTACTGTTAAGATTTATAAGAGAGTAAGTTGCAAAAGTGGCCACAGCAACCTAGTATCAGTTTTAAAAGCATATAGACTTTTATTGTTTGTATATACCAGAAATGTAGCTGAAGTCCAAGTAAAGGACAAAGATGCATTCAGCAATGAAGCTTTTTTCAAAACTTTGATTTCTTCATCTCTGATACCCATGATCAATTTCCTGAATGGTATTTCCCAGGCATATAGTTTAATCACCTATCCACATAATCCGTAACACAATGGTAGCTAAACATGACAACATACCTTGATGCCATTTAAAATCTCATTAATCATTTTAGATCTAGAATCCTTCTTTGACATAACTATCACAGAAAAACGACGAATATACTTTGTCACCAGAGCATTGACTGGCAGTAGTATAACCATGACAGCTAAACCAGCAAATATTGATGGGCCCATTGACAAATAAAGAAAGAAAAGTGCTAAAAAAGCTTGGAAAGGACCAGACCAGATCATGTGAAGATACACCATTAAGTCTTGAAATCTTTGAGCATCAACAGACATTAAATTAACTATTTCTCCTGTTGCTCTATTTTGACGGGATTCATTGCTCAATATCAATGCCTAGCAAATAAGAATTTCAAGTTAGTCACATTTTTAGTTATACATATTTACTGCACTTTAGAGCTAGAAAAATTCATATGAGTAAAATTTTAGTATCAATTTTCAACTTTATGCTACATGGTGCCTGTGTTAGAGCATTTGATCAAAATTTTAATCTGCAGCTATGACAAGATCAATTGATCAAAGTATTACACTAGCTATACAGTGATAAGATACAAAGTGCTATGACACTATACCTTCTTATACACAGCTTGTATCAGACCAGAGCGTATCCTCATGCCAACAATATAGCAACGATTAAAGTATTGATGTAGCAACAGTGAACGTAATATAGCAAGCAAGAATATAGTAACTGCATACAGATAGCCCCTCCAAGCAGGCTCTGCCTCATCCCTAACATAGTCTATCATTAGCCTATAGGTACAAATAGTGACACTAGTAAGTATTGCAATGATGTACTTTAAGAGTTGAGGTCCTATAAAACCCAGTATATCTTGAAAAAGTTTAAAAATCCCAGCCACAAAGAAATCAAATCCATATGCTCTAGAAAGAGCTAGCACTAATGATGGTTGTCTACCCTTTGTCTCTGATCCTTCAATATCATTGTTAACAAAGTTTAAACTAGAAAAGATTAAATTTATTTATTAGTTGACTACCGTATAGCAGAAAATTTTGGAGGGGATTAAATTTGGCGAATTTGGCGTTTCGATAGCCATTTACAAAATAAAATCCGCCATTTTGAGCCATTATACGAATGCTCAATGGCACGTGGCCACAAATTCCCCAAATTAAAATTCGCCAACCACCAAAATTTAGCAATTTGCCAAATTTTAGTCCCTCCAAAATTTCCCGCTATATGGTATTAAATAAGGACCTCACCCAGCATTAGACACAAGTCTGTTCCACTCTCTCTGAAACTTTGGAGCAACATAAGTAGACCTGTCTTTCATATTAAGATCATATAAGTCATCATAAGTCAGAGTGCTGTGAAAACCTTTCCACATTAAGCTGATAACAATGAAAGTGATAAAAATTATTTGATTTAAAATACCTGTTCATCCACCACCATGTAATGAGTGATAAAAATGAAGAAGATTCTTCTGGTGAGGGTTTCTGCTATAATACAAATAAGAAAATACACATGTACATGTAAATTAAAATTAAATTACATTAATAAAGTGTGTATAATATGAGTTGGCTTTCTTCTCTGGCACAAAGGAAAGAACCATTTGAACAATTGACAAGAAGTACACAATAACAAATGATGAAAACATCATTCTGTCAGGTACTCCATTCTGTATAAGTATTAAATTAAATCATAAGCTACAACATAGTCTTTTAATTATTTACTTTGTCTTCTGCAATCAGTATTAAAGTTCTTAGCTTAATAGAACCATAAATAAGGAAAGCCATCCAAAAAATAATAAAAATTCCCGAAGATTGTATCCCTCTTTTACGATGATATGCCATTAAGAGCATTACCCATACCTACATGTACATTACATTAAATAAAATCTAGAATTATCCTTACATTAACTTGCCATTGTTAATCCAGTAAACACAAGATAGATGAAATTATAGCGAGGGATAGTTTCACTTCTATTCTTAATCACAGAATATGTAAGAGTACAGACTACTGTGATAAAAATAGCAATGCATAATGCCTACATTACAAATAATGAGGATAATTACACTAATGAAGCATGTAACATGTTTGACAAACTTTTTTTGTAATAATGAGCCATGATAAGGGAATTGATGGTAAGTCACTATTTGTGAAGATAAAACTGATGATTGCAACAATCCAAAAGGTTACACAGATAAAAGTGATGAGGAAACCATCAGTAAAGCAAAGGGTCAGATCAACACTATCATGACTGCTGTCATTATAGTCAATGTCTTTCTAAAAGAAATGTTTGTTGATGATAGTGACAATTGTGTGTATATACATGTACATGTACAACTGTGCACACATTTACATGAATAAATTATACTTAGATATGTATGCATGCATCATCAAGTTATCCATTCAAGGCAGTCTAAAACAGAATATGCCAAATAATAAGGCAGCATGCAAGACACCTAAAAGAAAAACAGTATTCATGTATCCCAACACATGCACAATCATCCAGGAATGGGGTCAATTGTAATTTGAGAATGTAAATTCTAATCAGTTTTTCATGAACAAAATTGACAAAGAATTCTCAGACTTATAAATTGCTTAAAGCTCCAATCAGAAGTCTCCAATTTTCTAAATGGCACAAAACACAATTAAATTGGGGGTGCTCATTTTTTGAAACGTAGTGGCTATTTTTACGGTCCCGTAATCTCATTGTATACAGCTATTTTTACGGCAGGGAATATAGAAATGAAGTGACGTATAAAGATGACAATCAGCATCAATAAGGCAGCAGGATCGTGGTGGCACAGTGGGGAAGGCGCTGGGTTGGATACGGACGGGCACTGGTTCGAATTCAGCTCAGACCATTTCTTCTTTTTTATTTTTTATAATTTTGACTTTAACAAATTGATTTTTTTTTTTATCTTTCTACTTCGCTATGTTCCCTAATTATGTTAGGAGCCCTAGTTATGTTAGGAGTCCCCTACTTAGCTATTTTTTTAGGGTTTAGGGGTTAGGGTGGTGGTTTTTTTTTTTAGAGCGTCCCCAGTCATTTTATGAGCCCCCTAGTTATGTTAGGAGTCCCCAATGTTGGTTTAGGGTTTAGTTTTTTTATTTTAGAGTGTTTCCCAGGTTTTAAAATGAGTAAATCCATAGATAAATCATCCTGCCGTAAAAATAGCCACCCACGGTCGGATTACGGGCCCGTAAAAATAGCCACTGCCTTTTTGAAAACATTATGGTGATCAGAAATCGGCTAATTTTGGCCCATAGCTCAAAAATTTAATTTGGAATTGGCTCAAACTTCCCAAGTAAATTAGTGGTTCATCCCTGCATGCAAGAAGAGTATTAAAAAATGGATAGCACTGCACAAGGACAATTTCGACAATGCATCATAATGTATGCAAAGGTTGGCTTGACACAGACATACATGTAGATCACAGTACACATGCAACTGCCCCAACCCTTCACTAACACACAATACTGCACATACCCATAAAACAGAGTCAGGAAAACAAATTTTAGTTAGCATGAGCACAGCAAATGAAAATCTTAGTCTGAAAATCAATTCTCAAAAAGAAACTCTAAAGGGTTAAAATTAAAAACCAAGCCTCCCAAAAATGGAGGACAATATTAAAGTCTCAGAGAGTAAGAAGTATATATGTATAAGTCTCATTTGTACATTTTTAGATTCGTACATTCCCCTATCCTTTACTGAGGATCTCGCTGAGTACTGAGCAAGAAACATAAGAAGACCTCTTCTAGCACTATTAGAGACTCCTATCAATCAGTCCAAGTAAGTAAAATCTTTTAAATAGCTCCCATTCTCCAGTATGTACAGTTTGTATTGACAGTGCCATTAAAAACAAGCATATAAGTGTAAAAATATTCCTATGAAATTTTTTACCACCTTGCATGTACAGCTGGATTCTCATTAAGACTTATTAAGACTAGTCTCGTGGGCCGACTCCCTGGTTGGGGGATGAGAGGAGTCTGGCATGCATCTCAACTTCCGCTTGTTCTCAAGGCCAGTATAGGCCGGGACAATTACGTAATGAAAATGGCGCACCATGCACCTCAATGAAAAAGCTCTTATACATGATGCTGCCTTATCCTGTTGCTATCCATTATTAAAAGATCAACAGAAGTAGGTTGTTCTTTCCTTTTGTAAATGGAAGGACATTTTTGCCTGCCTTCCTACAGGGTTTGAGAAGAGTGCCTGTTTGTCATTTTTCCCAAATTGATTCACTGAGGAAGGGAACTCCTGGTCACAGCATTGTAATAGTAATTTTTCCATTAAACAGTTTAATGAAAGATCAAGTGAGAAGTTGTCAGGAACGAGGTGTAGCAGCAGCAGCAGCAGTCACATGTGATGACAAGTCCAGTGAGAAGGAGGCAATGAAGGGAGTCTACATCAGTCCAGAAATGATATTGGGTACGAAGAAATGGCGTTCTGTTCTGGACACCAATCTGTATCAGTCAAGGCTAGTTGGATTAGTAATTGACGAAGCGCACTGTGTAAAAACTTGGTGAGTGCTGCTTACTTTTTGATACTAAATCATAGGGGTTATCTTTTTATTTACAGGGGTGATTTCCATCAAGTGTTTAAGAGTTGGGCCATTTAAGGGTATTGATCCCCACAGGTATCAACATGATGGTACTAACACCGACTGCCACAACAAGATCTATACTAGAAATATGTCTTCGACTAGGCATGGAAGATCCTCATGTTGTTTAATTATTGCCTGACAAACCAAACATATTCCTGTCATGCAATGAGTTTGACTCCATCGAAGGAAGCATCATTTGGATTGTTAGCCAAGTGATTGATAAATGAGAGGACGAAGATGGGAAGAGTTATCATATTTTGTAAAAAAAATAGTTCTGTGTAGTCAGATCTATTTGTATTTATTATGTTATGTGAAGGTTTTATGGAACCAAGAGGTGTTTTAGTTGCTAGTGTTGAGTCTTGTCTTGTGGACATGTTTACATCTGGGATGCATCTGGAAGTGAAGGAAATGATTTTGGAGTCCTTTTAGTAACAGAGATATCTGCAGTGAACTTTGGTGCTTGTGGATTAAGATCAGATGAAGCAAGCAGTGCAAAGTACTAGATTTGTTGATACCACTTCTGTCTCATCACCACCATCACGCCTGATTGGGGAAAGGGCTGCACTTGTTGACAGTGAGGACAGTGATGTAACTGTTCCTCCACATGGTCTAGTAATTGTTGCTCCTCGATGCAATCTTCCATTCTCTCGTCATCCTCCTAATCGTCTTGGTTATTATGTCACTACTTCAGACTGGGACAGTCTTCATCTGGAGGGGGAGCTGTGTAATGAGTATTAATCACTGGTACTGTAATACTATTGGATTGTAAACATTACTGTATTGTTGTTATTATCATTATGCTTTATGGTTTCATGTATGTATGTTGTTTTGCACATGCTCAGTTGTGTAGTGAGCATGTGATTCTGGTTTTCTATGATTGTCACTCTCTCTTTTATCAACTTTGTTTTTGAAAAACATTACTACAGTGGCACCTGCGAGTAGCTACATTACATTAGCCATGCCTGTACGTGTATGTGTGTGACTACAAGTGTTTACAATAAAAATGACTGTGGCATGTTCTATTTTTGCTTTGGCTGCTTAAGGGCCAGTGCACTCTTTTGGACTGGAATTTGATATAATAATTAAGATTGTGATAAAAACAATAAAAAATAAGGTCACATTAAGAGTGACTAGTACCAGTTTACTATGTTTTGTATGCGGTAATAGTTGAGATAAGTATTAATACAAGTTTCTTTGTGTCGATAGTCTAAATTAAGCTCTCTTATTTTAGTATCAACTGGTAATGACTGGAGAATGAGTAGTATTGACTCAGTAGGTAATGAAGTACACCTTAGATCCAGTGCATCTAGTGATGAGTTATTGAGGAGGAGATGAGAAAGAGCCTGTCCACTAGTAGAAGTAATAAGTGGATTATTATTGAGATCTAGTACGGTAAGTGTAGAATTATGCTCAAGTGCTTTACAGATTTTAATAACTCCTCTATCACTAATGGAGTGGTATCTTATAACTAGGTCACGTAATGTATTATTATTAGCTAATAGCATACACAGGTACTGGATACAGTCATTTGTTAATGGAGTGTACTGTATCACAAGATTCCTTAGGGTAAGTTTCAGTTTAGTTGATGATAGGAGAGTTAATGTGCTATTAGTTGATGAGGAATGGAGATCAATCACCTGCCCATTACTATTGATATCACTAATAGCTTCTGTACACTGAACTGGAGATGGAAATGATAGAGACATCCAGTCATCGTAGCTCTCGACCCTCCCAATGACTCCTAATATCAATGAAGGAATAATACTGATACTATATACGTCAACATTAAATAATACTACATGCATATCTTGTGTGCATACAAATCACCAGAGTAGCAGAATACAATAAAAATGCATACATTTAGATGATTTTGAGCTTAAGTTTTATGCATGCCAGTGTTAAAGGTAAAGAGTATTGTCAAAAACTGCAAAATTAAAGCAGTAGATTAATTCAGGAATATTCTGTCGTGGGGCTATACTGTTCTACCATATAAAGGAATGAGAAATTTGTGTGCAGCATGTTGCCCAGGGTCAGAATAGCCCCAACTAGTTCTACTTTTTCTATTAAAACTTTTTAACTGTAATAGGTACAGAACTGGTCACTTTATCTATAACTTTTATTCAAATGCCTGTATTAGTGACGAATATTGAGGTAAAATAGACTTAGTAGATTGAGTGGATAAAAGTAACAAAAGTGAGTAATGACTTTGTGAATAATTAATTTGATTATCTGTGGGAAGAATAGCCCCAAGTCACTCTATTTGAAAAAATCAGCGACTGAAAAAAGCACACCATTGAGACAAATACACATCATTATACCTTATAGCAAAAGCTGTTGTGCCTCGAAATTTTTAAAACTTACAGCATGGCTAAAAATAAAATACCACAATAATTAATAAATTTTGGGTGGTGAGTTTGCAAAAAAATTTTGGGCTACCAAGCTACATGCACATGCGCATGACCAAAGTACCAATGGTGTATCTCATTCACCCATAAATTAGATATACTGCTAACATTACATACCTTGCTCATGCTGTTTCTTGTCTTGTCTCAGTG